AACAGCTTAACAATGTTAATAGTTACTGTGAATGAGTTGGTTAAATTTTAACTCATCCGATTGTTTTATTCTGCTGAATGCACTTTAAACGCCTTTTAATCCGGTGTGAGAGGGATCCGGGCATGCTTGATGCCGAAATTGCCCAGCTGTTTACCGTAACTCAGACACGGAAGGTGAAGAGTTTGAGGAAATTGTGGAAGTTGAATGTACTGTACTGGAAAAAGTGTATTTTTCAATATTTAATGTGTTACAGCTCAACAGTGTTAAGAGTTACTGTGAATGAGCTTAATAAAGGTCGAGTTATTTTTTTGTTTGTGTTAATGCGCCTTATAATATGATGCACCTTATGTATGAAAACAGAGCCAGTCTTCAACAGTGCGCCTTATAATCTGGTGAGCCTTATAGTGCGGTAAATACGGTAATCTGCTAAATTAGCCACTCCCCCCACACACGGTCGTACAGAACATATATACTCAGTGGAGGAGCTTGTTAATGATCTCAAGACTAGGAACAGTCACCAAAAACACCAATGGTTACACACTGGTTGTAATGGTCTAAAATTAAAGAATAATGTGGCTCAGGAGGTAGAGCAGGTCATCTATTAATCAAAAGGTACGGGTACATTAGACATGCTAAAATGCTTTGAGCGTTCAAGTAGAATAGTAATGTGCTGTATAAGAACCACTCCATTTACCATATACCGAATCTTGCAGCGCTCACAAGGTCCCCCTGCTCAAGAAGGCACATTTAGAAACCCCTCTTAAGTTTGCCAGTGAACACCTAAAAAATTTAGAGAAGCCTTGGAAGAAAGTAATGTAATCAGATGAAAACAAAATCGAGCTCTTTGACAACAACTTAACCCACAGTGTTTGGAGGAGGAGAAGTGATGAGTATGACCTAAAGAACACAATCTCCACAGTCAGAGGTGGAAATATTGTGTTTTGGGCTGTTTTTCTGCTGTGGGTACAGGATGACTTCACCGTATAGAGGGGCCAATGGATTGGACTATGTGCCGTAAAATCTTGGACAAGAGTCTTCTTCCATCGGCCAAAAAACTGAAGATATGAATGAGTCTTCCAGCATGACAATGACCCAAAATATACCACCAAAGAAACATAGGAGTGGCCAACGAAGAAGAATGTTAAGTTCATTTCGCAGCTTAGCCACTGACCTTTCTACCAGTCCTGTAGAAAATGTGCTGTGGGGGTCTTTAAAACCTAAGGCATTTAGAGATTTTCTGTAAAGAGGAGTGGGCCAAAATCGCTCCTGCAATGTGTGCAAACCTAATGACCAACTACAAGAAATATCTTACCAAAGCTCACACTGAGCTCAGGGTTTTTTTTTTTATTTGATTTGATTTTTTTTTTTTTGGGGGGGGGGGTGAATGAAATATCTGGAAATACTGGAAATGCCATCACTGTCACCCTTCACAGAGCGCTGAGCCATCTGGCTAACAGGAAGAGCTATGTGAGGATGCCCTTCGTGGACTACAGCTCAACTTTCAACTCTATAATCCCAGACATCCTTATCACCCAACTGAGAATAAAAAGGCTGCACAGAGGATAATTAATACTGCCAAAAAATAATTGGCTGTCCTCTGCCACCCCTTCAGATGCCCCCCCTGCCACCTGTTCCTAGGTTCAAGCTCGGTAAACACCCCGGTAAAGAACCCCCAAAAGTGTCGGCACTTCCTCCTTGTCCCAAAGAAGAAAAACCTCCTGCTGGGCTTCTACTGCTCCTCAGGGGAGAACGTGCTCTCTTACTGCCTGGTTGTCTGGTTAGAAACGCTGCGTAGAGGGTAATTAATACTGTCAAAACAGTCATTGGCTGTCCTCTGCCACCCCGGAGTCCATCGCTAGATTCTCCTGTCTCAGACAAACACAGGTGACCGCGCCCACCACCGGTTTGACCCTCCACCAATCAGGTCCCACACCCCAGACTCACTAACAGCTTCTACAGCTTCTTCCCCTGGGCCATTTGGACTATTAACAAACACTACCCACCCCTACCCAACAAGTGTTACAATGGTCCAAGATGGACGTTAAGAGTCCTGCTCCCTCTCTGGGCCTGTTTTTCCATCTGCTCGTAGCTGTAACTAATAGAAGTGCTATCCTAAAAATATATTTTAAAAATGACTGCACTATAATGATCTCCATTTGCCTATGGGATGGGATCCTCAAATTATTTCCCTTTTACCAGCTGGTGGACTGAGCTTACCATTAAGCTGTGAGGGAAGTGGATCCTAGTGCTTTGGCTACCCTGTTATGGGTGTGGCAAAAATTAGGCCAAATGAAAGATTCTCAAGCCAGAACTTATTAAACAGGAAAAAACAACAACAAGAGAATAATCAGAATCTGAAAATTTCACAAAACACTTGATGCATCAAACACTGGAGGATAGCAAACAGGAACAGAGACATGAGACACAGACAGTCTGACAAAGGACAAAGAAAACACTATGACAATATATACACAAAACAGATCTTGAACAGATCTTAGAATGCTATAATAATCACAGTGAAACCATCAGATATTGTAAAACTGTTTGCATTGTATGTTGGCCTCTCACATAATGAATGCTCTGCAAGATAGAAATCCAAGAAATCTTTAGACTGACTTCAGAGGTGGTGTTTAGATATGATTTATTATCTTACACCTGGGAACCAATCCCTGCATCGGCAGTTCACAGAAATCAGTCTTTATTAACTATATTTTTATACCGTGTGTGCGTGTGTGTGTGTGTGTGTGTGTTTTACTACATTAGTAAAATTTTAAAATTGTTGTTGGTAAATCACAAACACCTTGACTGAGGCAGGTGAGGCCTGCAGTTCTTGAGATGTTGTTCTGGATTCTTTTGTGACCTCCTGGATGAATCATTGATGCACTCTTGGAGTAATTCTAGTAGCCCATTTGTGAATAACAGCTCTCCACTTGGCTCAGTCTTAGAAATGGTTTTCCAGACCGATAGTTGTCAGCAGCTTAGTCTTTCAGCTGTTTTTGAGTTTCTTCAGATCATGGCATGACGTGTCGCTTAGCCTACTTTACTTTGTCAGACGGGTTCTACTTAAGTGATTTCTGGATTCAGCAGTTATCAGACCTGAGTGTGGCTAGTTGAAACTGAACTTTCCAAAGTTCAACTTTCCAAAAAATGTGGTTGATCACAGTAAATTCACGATTTAGGACATGGTAGGTTTGTTTAGCCTTTTCCTTACTAAATTAATGTATTAATTAATCGAATCTAATAATAATTTACTAAATTTTAAAACTAAATGTAGTTTAAGAAATGAAAAATTAAGAAGAGCAAACATTTTCCCAGTACTGTATATCACAATAGGCAGTAAAATAACTATTGATAATAGATGTTTGTTTCAAAGTCAGATAAGAGCGTACAATATAATTTGGGTAAAAGGCTAAGGGCAGTGATTAGCATTTTCTGTGGTTCTGTGAAATCTTTATCTTTAGATGGTTGTCATAAAGTCCTCCTCTGCAGTACAGTCACCTTTGTCTTCAAGTAGCGTTCTTTGGTCCTCTCATTGAGGACAGGATCTTAATCTCGAGACTTCCAGGCCATATTCGGCACAGATGTTTCTGTACACTATGCCGGCCACTTGGTTATGGCGTTCCATGTATGCCCTGCCTGCTAGCATCTTGCACCCTGCTCTTATGTGCTGGATGGCATCTTTACACAGCCTGCACCTGGGGTCTTGCCTGGGGTGATAGAGCCCAGCCTCTATGCTTGTTCCTGTGCTGCCATGATTAGCGCCTCTGTGCTGTCTTTCAGTCCAGCTTTGTCCAGCCACTGTGGTACTGACACTAACTAGCCTCTGACCTCCTTCTTTAAGCTTAGCATACAACCTTAGGGCTTAAAGTTGGCCTCTAGTGTTGTCCACCACATCCCCATTGAGTTCCTGATAAAGACTCTTAGGGTCCTGTTGATCTTGTACAGGTCTAGGCATTCCAGCATCCAGTTGTGGGGCATCAAGTTGTAGGCCTTCTTGTAATCAATCCAGGGAGTGCACAGGTTTGTCAGCCTAGTCTTGCAGTCTCGGCTGACTGCTCGGTCTACCAGTAGCTGGTGTTTTTCTATGTCTCTGGTGTACCTCTTTAAGCAGCTGGCTAAGGCTGTGAGTCTTTGCTTGGCAGTTTCCAAGGCCTCAGGTATTGGACAACTTGCTGTACTTCTTAGGCACCTTCTTTGTCGCACCTTTCTGCAGCTCTGATAGTTGGCTAACCTCCCTCCGTGCTACCTTGATGCCTCCAGTCTCCTTTAATGCAGTAACAATGCAGTTACAGCTGCATTGTTTTACAATGAAATGAAGAACTAAACAATTTTGATATTCTTTTTGTTTTGTTTTTTCCTTTGGCTCTATTACAGTGGTATTACATTACACAACACAATAAGTTAAGAGACTGTAAATAATAGGAGACATTATTAGTTTAAGCTGCAGCTGCAGACCAAGACAGTGCAGTGTAAGTGTTATTCCAGAATTGTCTCTGAGCTGACAGCTCTGTGAGGCTTGGGCATTTCCACAAAGATGTATAGACAGTTTTTTTCTCTTTCAAAGAAGTTTGTGTTTAATAAGGTTTGAAATAAATGTTCCTGTCAAGCAAAGCTCTCAATACTCAAGCTCTCAAAAATCTCTCTAGCGTATGACGCTAGAGAGATTATTTGAGATTCCATCAACACACATGAATGAATGTACTCATACCATTGTTATCCTCCACATAGCAAAGGGAACTTTGCTAGAAAGCAACAAAAATGAATCTCTAGTTACAATTGTGGTGTGGCAACACTTTAGTGGTTTTAAACCCACTGCATCTACCCCTGACTGTCACCTCTGTGTTTGTATGTCTTTGTGTGTGATTGAGAAATGCAGAAATAAACTAGACCAGGCATAAAAACTATGGCTTTAGATTATGGCTACTCTTATCACATTTAATGATTCAATATCTCTGATTCAGTTGTAAACATTGCACAAGCTATTACTCCACTTTCTCCACCACTCTTCAAACTGCTTTCACGGTCAGTTAGAGGTCAACTGAAACAAATCTTTAACGGCAAATGCTGAAATGTTGTTCTTTAAATGCTGCCATCATTAAGCACAGCTTTTATAAGCAATGGTTATTTGATGATTGAAGAATATTGTTTTGGTGATGGTGGCCGCAATCATGTGTCCAACAGGGAAAGTCTTACCCGTTCAAAGGCTCCTTGCCTCCCATGTGGAACCCCATCGCTTTGATGGACTTCAACAACCTCTTTAGAACAATGGATAAGATGGGCGAGGAGGTAAAGCAGTTCTCACTATTATTGAGTATTCTTATTAATAAGCATTCTAGATTGGTTTACTGGACAGGTTGCACACCTGCTACATGCCTGACTCATGCTGAACACCCTCCTGCATTTCAGATTCCCAGAGACGCTCCCTGGAGAGCTCCCCATGCTGAGGAGTGGGACAAGATGACCATGCAGGAACTCTTTGAAAAACTCTGCTGGACCAGGTAACATGTTCAAAATGTTTCCCGTTTGTGCAGAGAATAGGTCTAGCTATTCATCCTGTTATCTCGTTTATATCCAGTTTAAAGTTTTATTGTTAAATCAAGTGACACAAATGTTGAAGGTGGTCTCTAACAAAAGAAATGTCGTTTTATTTTCTAATATCTCATATGAGTCAGCGAGGCTGGCTGGTGGAGTGCTAGGTTATAAGCTAATGTTAGCAACCTCAGTTACTAAGGTTTCATGGGTGCAGCATTCTGCACAACAGACTTGGCATGAAATGCTAGAATTCCACTCACTGAAGCTGGAAGTAAAATTAACGCTCTTTGGTTAATTTTGGTTAATTGGCTAATTCCAATAAAATGATCTCCAACACCACAGTCACGGTTAAGAGGTCCAGTTCAGTGACTCAAACTTGCAGAGGTGGAAATGGTTACAGCTTCCTGTGTCAGCACTAATAAGAATAAGAATTCTCATCCCTGCAAAAACTTTGAAAACTGATGCTGAAGGTTGTAGCTGTTTCATAGAGGTTTTTGGTGGAGAAGCTTCAGTATATGATGCACTGTGAGTGAGAATGTTTTTGATAATCTAATTACTGTGTAAATTTAAAATATGCAGCTTATAAAAGTAAATGACAACAGTCCTGCACTAATTAAATGATTGTACTGCTCCAGCGTTTGAATTAATCCTGTAATGTATCCTATATTAAACTAAAATAAAACTTTAGTTCAACTTTGAAACTGCTCAAATGTAGATTATGTGCAAGTCTCTGCTGGAAAAGTAGGACAAGCAAACAGAAATCCCTGACATGGTGATTTATTTGTGCTTTGTTCACACTCTTACAGAATATAAAAATTGTGACTGGGGTACCTGCAGTATTTAAAGACTTCTTACCTTCCATGTAATCCCTCCCAGAACTGCTCGTCGCTTCGCCACACTGTTTGTCAACTTGATCGTGACCGCTGAACCCCACGAGGTGTCGGCTCTCTGGTTACTCTGGTACGTCAAACAGTGCGGAGGAATAATGAGGATCTGCTCCACCACCAATGGAGGACAGGTATGTCTGCCCAAAATTATACCTACTGATTCAGAACAACAGACTGAAAGAATTCGTTTTTTTATATATCTGTCTGAACAAACAGAATATTCTCTCGGCGTGCCAAGAAGTGGACTTGCGTTCTTTGCCTCTCACACAGATTCATTCAGTGATTCAGAGGAGCAGTGTGAACGTCAGAGGGAGATCCCTCACAGCCCAGTCTCCTTAGTCTGGCCTGAATAAGATGCTGTCCACACAAAAGATGTTTTCTTGGAATACTCAGGGCGTCTTTTCTGCTGCCGTTCTTCAAGCTGAGGGCCTTGTTCCCATAGCCACAAAGGCTTTGGTAAACAAATGACAAACAGTAGTGCAGTCGGCTCCTTCCTGTTTGCTTCACATTTAAAGCTTACACGCCTTGTGGATGGTGCATACATAGGGGTGTTTGAAGTATTTACACATAGTCATCTTAAACATATGGATATGCAATTGGTATGCATTGCTTCGAGTGCAGCTGCACTCCTCCTGCAAAACTGCAAATGTGTCTTTAATCAAACAAGACAAGAAGAGGCTCACCTCGTTTCACCGCCCAGGACTGATTTAGGTTTAGCTCGTGCTTTCTCAGCGACTGCTCGACAAATTCATCCAAATGCCACAGAGGAATGCACACAATGTGTTTCTGGTCAGGGATGAGAGAGATGTTGATACTAACCACATGGAAATGGTTTTGTGTATCGGAGCTTTGACAGCCCAAACCTCTCTACCTCCTCACTGTCATCTTCATCATTTAACATTTGCTGGCCTGGCTTTATGAACGTGTTTCTTTTGAATTAAGATGCAGAAATTTGTAGTGAAGGAAATGAAGGCGGACTGAGGATAACTGGTGTGTATCACCAGGATAAATCAGGGGATTTTATCAGCTTCATTCCAAACTGGGAGTTTATTAGCCTTGCTGAGGGGTACCCAGAGGGGGATCAGAGTCACTTCCACCCAATATAAATAGAAACCAGTGTTGCTGCATCTGCTCTCCCTGTTGGTGCTCACTGAACTCTGCTCTCTTTGTGTCTCAAGGAGAGGAAGTTTGTAGGGGGTGCGAATCAGGTGAGTCAGTGCATGGCGAGGGAGCTGGGAGACCGAGTGAAGCTGCAGTCTCCAGTCTACAGGATCGACCAGACCGGAGACATGGT